GGGGCGCCCCACACCGGGGGGGTCACCCCCTAATTTTGGGGGGTCCCCCTTTATTTTGAGGGGGTTTCAGCCAAATTGGGGGGGGACACCCCCTTTTTTGGTTCCTGAGTGTTCTCCAGGTTGAAACCGAAGGGGTTGGGAACGTGTGGGGCAGGAAAACCCCCATTTCTATGGGGCGCCCCACAGCGGGGGGGTCACCCCCTATTTTTGGGGGGCCAGCACCCCATTTTTGGGGGGGTCCCACTCAAATTGGGGGGTCTCACCCTAATTTGGGGGGGGGACACCCCCTGTTTTGGTTCCTGAGTGTTCTCCAGGTGAAATTGAAGGGGTTGGGAATGTGTGGGGCAGGAAAACCCCCTCTTCTATGGGGCGCCCCACAGGGGGGGGGTCACCCCCTATTTTTGGGGGGCCGGCCCCCCATTTTTTGGGGGGACACACCCACCTCTGCAGCTCCTGCCCGTCCTCCAGCAGCGCCTCCAGGTGCGCGAAGCCGAAGGCCCGATAGAAGCAGTTTCCGTCCGGCCGCGTCTTGCGGATGTGGGAGTATTTCTGCAGCAGGGCCTGGGGTCGGGGGGCACAACTTGGGGGTCAGCCCCATAGATCCGACCCATAGATCTGCCCCATAGTGACCCCCGGCCCCACGGAGGGGGAGAGGAGCCATAGGGCTGCCCCACGGCGTCGTGAGGGGACGTAAAGAGGCTCCTGATCTCAAATTGGTGGCTAAAAACCACTCCCAGCCCCACAGCTCTGCCCCATAGCGGCTCCTGGCCCCACGGCAACCCCCAGCCCCACATCTGTGCCCCAGAGACGATCCAAGCTCCAAATCAAGGCTCTGAAGAGGTTTCCAAGCCCACAGCTCTGCCCCATAGTGACCCCCAGACCCATATCCCCACCCCACAGCATCTCCCAGCCCCAAATTAGGGCCCTAAAGAAGTTTCCAGCCCCACAGCTCTGCCCCATAGCGACCCCCAGCCCCACATCTCTGCCCCACGGTGCCTTCCAGCCCCACATTAAGGCTCTAAAGACGCTCCCAACCCCAAATTAAGGATCTAAAGAGGCTCCCAGCCCCACACCTCTGCCCTATAGTGACTCCCAACCCACTTCTCTGCCCCACAGCACCTCCCCAGCCCCACATCTCTGCCCCATAGCAACTCCCAGCCCCATATCCCCGCCCCACAGAGCCTTTCAGCCCCACATCAAGGCTCTAAAGAGGCTTCTAAGCCCACATCTCTACCCCATAGCGGCCCCCCAGCCCCACACCTCTGCCCCATGGAGCCCCCCCAGCCCCATAGCGACCCCCCA